TGATATCTTAAAAGGAATAATATCAAATTGGGAGATTTTCTATTATCGTTGATTGCAGATGAAAAGATACACGTGTGTTTGTACCTACATCCAGCTACATTAGTTCACTGAACACTGTAATATAGTTCTATTAATTCCTAGATAGTTAGTCAGATATCCACTTTTTGTAAAGATTGTCGCACATTTTGTAGGAAAATGTATTATTCAATAAACTATACATTTCAGTTGTTTCCACACAGACAAAAAGTTTAGAATGCTTTAGTTTTTACTTCATGCAGATCTTCAAAAGGTATTTACATTATGAACAGAAGAAAATACTATTGCATTTTATATGTAGTATGTATTTGTACTATGTTATATTTGCTATATATAATTAACGCATATCTTTGAACATTTTTATGTTATGAAATGTCAATTCAATGAATGAAATATTCTCAATTTTTGAAAACCTACAATTCAAGTTTTACAAACGTGAGATTATAAACCTTTAGTAATGCAAAAAACACAAATAGTTAAAATAATATAAATAATTATTTTTACAAACTTGTGAACATTATTGAATAAATCCGGAAAAATATGAGGGATATATTATTAATGAAATATGTTTTTCATAATATTAATAAATTGTCACGGTATAAAATGTTCTTGTATACACAGATATTTTGTTGTTTGCATTAACTGTGTTACTTTTTTGCCAATTTGACGTTTTTTGGAAAAATTTATTTGTAGGTTTCCAGAAATATAGAATATTTTATTCCTTCAACTACCTATTATAAGATTAAAGTCTGCAAGGATACGCGTAAATTATATTTAGCGATTATAATTAATACAAGTACATATACATGAAAAGCTATAGTACGTTTTCGCGCTCTGCAAATGCGAAACGTTATACACATACATCGCTGTTGCATACGGAAGCAGAGTAAGAAATATAGTCACTCGCGCAGAGTGACAAAAACGACACTCGCGCAGAGTGAGAAGGAGATAGAGTCTCGCGACGGATAAACAGTTGAGACGGGATCGGTGATCGCGAGTATCGTGACACGAAGTGACGTGCAACGCGAGTAAGTAGTGTGTGAGTGTAAGTGTGTAAGTTCTAACATAATAATAATATAATGAAGTTTAATTTGGGCAGGAGGCTTCCTTCAAGTTATTTCAGACTCTCTCGGAACCCAAAATGGGTAAAGAGGTTGGTATCTATCATGTATTTCTAATACATTCATACTTCTAATCGTACACACATGTAATAAGAAATAGATGTAGACAATCTTCAGCATAATCGGCATAAAATATTTCTCTGTGCTGCAGTTTATTTGCAATATTTGGCTAAATATCACGATTCACGCCAATAATTCTCCTCTTATCACTCGCACGAAATAAGTCATTGGACAAACGTAACTAAAGAGTACGGCATTCTCAGGAACATACGTTGTAAATATTATTGGATCTTTGATGCTATAAATTAGTAAACATATGGTTACATTTGTGATACGTTACTCTGATTATGCCGCATTCCGTATTTATTGGCCTAGTTTTCACCGAGCATTTGATTCGCGTACTAACTAGTAACTTTCTAATTTCTATTAAATTTTCTTAATTTCGACGATGCATATAACCATATACATGATGTATTAAATTAATACTAATGCATAGTGTATCAGCTTAGTATATCATTATTTAAATGCATCGTAGAAATTAAGATAATACATCGGAAGAGCACACGTCTGAACTCC